CTCTCTCTCTCTCTCTCTCTCTCTCTCTCTCTCTCTCTCTCTCTCTCTCTCTCTCTCTCTCTCTCTCTCTCTCTCCGTGTTAATGTGCGCACCTCCCTCTCTCCTCTTTTCCTTTCTCATCTCATCAAATTGTTGCGAGTATATAATACGTTCCCGGTTTTCTTAATAATTGACAATTCGCGGGTAACAAGAGCAAAAAGAATACATAGAGAAAACATGAGATCGCAGTCCGACTTGGAAGATAACGCCGGCGACACCGGGAGAACAAGACAAGAAAAACAGCCACGGAAAAGAATGATCAGGCGAGAGCATAGACATGTACATATCAAAGACGTATAGGAAGGCAAGAGACGGCAGGTAGCCATCCCAATCCTGCGTGAAGAGGAGGGGGACAAAGCACAACGACGACAATACACACAAAACGCCAGACAAGACAGGTAGTTTCTCCCAAATCTCACACACACTTGGCGCGGGAGTATTGAGGAGGAGTTCCTTCACTCAGGGCCTAGACACACCACTCTGGAAATGTGAAAAAGACAAAAATGTGGCGGGTGCATCTGCCCATGTTCCAGCGGGAAGTTCATTCTCATTTTGCACATTTCGACAGTGGTGTGTCGATGCCCTCACGCATAAATCCAAAAAAAAGAGATGACGCGCAAGAAAAAGAGAAACCGAACTTCACTTTTCTCAACTCAAAAATTCATGTATCGAATAATGGCATCCTCAAAATTTTCTCCTCGACCCATGAAACAGGCGAGCGCGCGAATAAAAAGTGAAGGGGGAAATCGGAAACCCACCCCTCCACCCATCCCGACCCCTCCCACCTCTGATCTACAGAGTAATCACTCCTCCCATCCCGATCCCGATCCCGTGTCTCTGTCACGAGGAATGGAAGCCACAAACAGGTGCCCACGTGTACACCGCGTGTCCAAATCTCATCAACAACAGCGCCGCCCCGTAATGTTCATCATCATCCTCATCTCACTCACGTGTGTCACTCATTGTCACTCCAATCACTACTGTCGGCCGTCAGATCCGTGACGATCAGCGTCAATCAAGCTCTCTCTCTCTATCTCCATCTCCAGCTTCGATCGCCTCTCCCCTCCACCGCAGCTCTGTTTTCCAACTCGCTCCGCTCATCATAGCCTTCCCCTCAACATACCTGTGCGATTGAACTCACTTCGCGCCAAGCGCGAGAGACCGGTAATGCCCCCCTCTGGTGAGATGCAAGGCAAGTACAAAGGAGCGAAAGAGAGAGAGAGAGAGGAGAGGAGAGGAGAGGAGAGGAGAGGAGAGGGAAGCCCAGAGCGGAAGAGAGCGGACGATAAGAAGAGTCCTGCAACCAACCCGAATGCTCACCTCCTTCTCCTCGCCTCCGCCGCCGCCGCCGCCATCGTCATACCCCCAAGAACACGAGGAAAAGATAGCGAGAAAGATAAGGACAACGAGAGAAAGAGAGAGAGAAAGAAAGAGAGAGAGAGAGAGAGGGAGAGAGACGAGGGAGCACTGCGTGACAATTTTTTGTGTTTAACGATTGGCTTTGGCAACACGTTCGATCTCGTCCTTCTTCTTGATGGCGTAGCTGTTGGAAGATCCCTTCGCGGCGTTAATCAGCTCATCAGCTAAGCATTCCGCAATAGTTTTGACGTTCCTGAAGGCGCTCTCACGTGCTCCTGTCGTGATGAGATAGATGGCCTGATTAACCCTCCGGAGAGGGGAGATATCGACAGCCTGACGTCTGATGACACCAGCGGAACCAATTCGGGTCGCGTCTTCTCGAGGTCCACTGTTAATCACGGCATCCACTACCACCTGAATCGGGTTCTGGTCGGTCAAAAGGTGGATGATCTCCATTGCGTGTTTGACGATCCTCACAGCCATCAGCTTCTTGCCATTGTTGCGCCCGTGCATCATCAGTGAGTTGGTAAGTCGCTCGATGATAGGACATTGTGCCTTGCGGAAACGCTTGGTTTGATAGCGACCGGCGGTGTGCGGCACGAAGAACTTGCGTGTGACAGCGATGTAATCCTGGAGAGAGATGTCGCTCACCTCCACATCTTCGAAACTCCATCGCCCGAACAGCTTCACATCCGCTTGGTAGTCCGCCATAGCCATGATTGCCGGTGAAAGAGAGAGGAGGAGGAGGAGGAACGCGCAAGTTCCCAGCTATGGAGGCGATGACTACAGAAAGAGAAAGGAAAAAGAAACACACACTCTTCTTCCTCCTTTTCTCCTCTACCACCCACCCTCCTCTGTAACCCTAACTTTCAATCGACCACCGACGCGTCGGCGACGACCACCAACCCACCCAAAATCGAAAAGAGGGTGCAAAAGTGTCCCCGCCGACCCTAAGTAGAGCCCATAGGTTGTTGTTTTGCTCGGGCGTCGCTGTCCAGGCCCACCACGACACGATGGGCCTCGCTGCACTACTCTCGAAAAGTGCAAAACGAGAGTGAATCTTCCGCTAGATTATGGAAAGGTACACCGCTATGATGTGCATGTCGAGAGTAGTGCAGCGAGGCCCAATAACCGGCCGCTCGGACCCCGGCGCCTGACACACTCACCACCAAATGTGAGAACGACGAAACTGCTGTAAGCAATGGGTGCATCTCGCCGCGGGATCGCGTCAGATACATTTTTTCCTACAGCTCACACCCGTTTGCCGCTGTGCGCTGTTTTACCCCAGCGCCGCTGTGGAGGACCGCCACGACGGTTACTGCACACTGTGCGCACTCGGGCCCTGGCGCGAAACTGGAATGTGCACAGTACCGTCTTCCCCCGAACATAACGCACCCTGAAAATGAACGTATTGAAGGCATGTTTCCGGCCCGATACAGTCAAAATGAGGGTGCGTTGTGTTCGGGGCCCTGGCGCGAAACTGGAAGTCTGCGAGGTACCGAGAAAACCCACACCTACCGGGGGCTTGGTCCCACTTACACGAATGAAGCGATATTGACCGTAGATAGGATAGCAAAGATCAACGGCCAGAAATCTCTTAATCCGTACAAGTGGGACCTTGCCCCGGGGAAAACCTAAAACTACCGCGAAAAGTTGGCAAACCGCGAACCGAAATGAGGACTGAGCCACGGTCACAGGAAAGGGAAGGAAGGGGAAAAAAAAGAGCGCTCACGGGAAAAGAGGAATACGGCTGATACACCCATGAACTGTTGAAAATACAGACCCGTGTTCGAATCCAGATGATGGAACTTGATGAGTAAAAGTTGTAAAACGGCTACTAAAACCAACTATTTCTGAATTACCTGGGGCCGGTCAGCTTAATGATGATATCTCAAGGCCGTCGCCCTTTAAAAAAAAAAAAAAAAGGAATACCCCTGATACCAACTGGCTCAGATGGTACACCATGCACACTTCAGCATGGCAACCGTCAGAGAAGGGAGTCCCATCAGGCACACCAAGGGACTCCCTCGCGGTGGTACGCAAGACTGCAACAATCACATACCACTCCGTCCTGATCAGGCATTGGCTGGATGGGAGGAGCGGGAGGAGGCGGGAGGGTTAGTGGGCCATCTTGGGAAATGTGACGTCGCCCTTTTTTTTTTTTTTGAAGTCCCAAAAATTACTTTTCTTCCTTTTCTTACAGTGCCGCACAGGTCATAATAGGCCATGACTCGTGTGCTAATGGAACCGTGCTCCTGGTCACGCAGCTATCCCCCATCTAACACGAAACAGGAAAGACATGACCGCGACTAAGGTAGTCCTCCAAGGAGAGGGAAAAAGAAGGAAAAACTGCCCTGCGATCCCCCAAAAAAAAGCTAATGGTGAATTGGGAAAGAGATCACAGAAAAAAGAATGCATATTTTGCGGGAACCTCCACAGGTACCCGCAAAATACTTATGCCTGCCACACGTACTCAGGGCATACTCACACTAGCACGCATTTTCATAAAATAGTAAATTGTAGGTGATTTTTTGGGTCACAAGGGCTACGTATTTTGCGTTTTCTAGCAAATGGGCACGTAAATGTCAGTGGCTTGGACAGCTGCGGGGTTAGTATTTTCTGGGAACCTCTGGAGGTCCCCGCACTTGTTTTTTTTTTTTTTTTTTGGAAAAACACCCGAGGTGGTGATAGAGGTGCTGATAAGAGCAGACACCGCTACCACTTCCGGGGAGGCTCCATCTATTGGTGGGGAGCTGCACCTGCTGGAAACCGGGTCCAGCGTCCCTGAATTTTCTTTTAGACCTGTTTATTTCTGGAAACAAAAAAAACAAAGTTTTTTTTTTTTTTTTTTTTTTTTTTTTTTAACGCCCCCTTCAGTGATAGTGGTGCCAGTTGGACTGGAGGAAGTGAGAGTCTGGGTGGGAGGAAAGCCGGGCCTCCCCTTTTTTCTTTTTTTTTTTCTGTGAAAAAAAAACAAAAGAGCAGACACCACTAGCACCTGGGGAGAGGCTCCGACGCTTGGTGGGCAGGAAAAAGGAAAAAGGGATGGCTTTTTATGCATCGAGCTGTGTGACCCCTCGGCCCGTATAATCGCATTCCTAGAGCAGGTCGAGACTGTGTCCTTTCTGTTTTGTGACATATAGGGTGTGCTGTGTGACTGGGAAGTGCCATATAGTCGCAAATTGGCTCACATATAATTTGCGATTTTACGTGCTAGTGTGAGTATGCCCTCAGACACGTGACTTCGCAAAATACATACCTTTTCTGACCGCGGTCGGGATGGGCTTGGCCGGGAGTGCCTCGCCAAGCCCAAATGACCAAGGCATAAATGTAGGGGACGTTGGTTTTCTTTAGTAAACCACCACTACCTTTCACAGGCAAACGCGAAGTCCATCTAGTAGCCTACTCGTCAGAGTCTGACGCCTCGGGGCAGGCAAGGCAGCCTTTTCTGAAAACAAAAAAAAAGAGGAGAAGAAAAGGGAAAAAACGAAAGATTTTGAATCCAGCGACCTTGGGGAAAGCCCTCACCGACGTGGAAGTCATACAAGTGGTTCAGGAATGTATCTGGCCAGAACATGTGGAAAAATGATTGCTGATGTTTTCGTTTTTGTTTTTGTTGCTTTCGTTTCCTTATGTGCCCTGCCAGTGCGGCAGGGCGTATTCCATGGCAGGCAGCTAACTGCCTCACTTCCTCATAATTCTGTAGCTTCCTGTATCTGGGTGCAATCACAGCATGTAGCTCAGTGGTTAGAGCACCGGTTGGAAATGCGCATTGTGGTATAAGGTTGCGGGTTCAAACCCCCGCAGCCTTGCGCATGGACACCGGCAGGGTGTTAGATTGACACATGGCTGGACACACATCCCCTTGGGCTGACGTATGGTACTATTACAGACACTGCATGCGCACCACCCAAGGGTAGTCCACGGCGTTGTATGTTGGTTGTGGGTTTCACAGGGTTTGCTTGGGGTGTTGGTCTCGGATGTTGGGCTCAGATGTTCTGATGTTCTCCCCAGCTCGTTCCATTTCCGGTAGTTGCTCATATGGTAGAGTCTTGGATTACATGTTACAAGGTTACGGGTTCGAGCTTGGTTCGGTCCTTGAGGGGGGTCCTTGTCCAGCTTGGCCCGTTCTCTCCTTGATACACACATGATTCACAGAGTACACATAGCTTTCGGGCATACACACATAGCTTGCAAATTACATAGCGCCTATGGGTTACGTACATAAGTTTCCACACATGATACTGTCTACATAGATTCACAGAATATACACACAAAAAACAGGCTGGGGAGCTAGTCACTGGTGGGGTCTAGTGCCTGCAGTAGGTTCAGGTAGGTTGGATAGGGTCCCATTGGGTGGAGTTCCTACTGACATTCGGATAGAACTGTCTGGTGGCTATATATGGGGCCTGTAGTTCATTGTCTGGACCTGACGTCCGAAGTTCCCGTTCCACAAGGTCCGTCCGATTCCGCTTCCACCAGGGCTGGGCAATCTATCAGCCCTGGTGGCTATCACTGCTGTTCAGTCCAAGTTGGCTGCCCGTTGGTAGGGTAATGGTCCTGAGTGCTGGCCACACTGAGGTAGGATAGTGGGATAGGGGGTGTGCTAGGAGTATTGACGTGAGGATGGGTTGGGAGGTGGTCTCATATTCCAGGACACCCGCGGCTCACACTTCCAGGTGATTCTTTTTTTTTTCTTCTTCTTTGTTTCGTGTTCAGTGGACAGAAGAGGGCACAGTCACACTGGCACCTCGTAGAATGCATCTGATGAATATCGCAGCGTTAGGGAAGTGTTTTTTCTTTCGTTCTTATGTTCTTTCGCAGATGCAACTGCCCAGGGGCCTGGACCCATTAGCTAAGTATTCTACCACTCCGTTCAGGATTTCGATCACATGTGGCCTCGAGTGACGCAGTACGGCCGCCGAATACATCGGATCTTGACGGCCTGGTAGTTTCCAAGCGGGGACTGTAAAGATGCCCACCTCCCGTCCAATGAGATGCGTCGAAAAACAAAAAAAAGTTAAAAAAACAAATTTGGACATGATACCTCGTGGCTTTGCATGGGCGGGAAGTCTGTATTTTATGGACTCAAAAGAGGGGGGCGGTTGATTTCCAGACTTCGTTTTTTTTTTTTTTGGCTCTGAGAAATGGAACTTGAAATGTGAAATTCAAACGTTGTGGTGGATCTGACAGGGATGCTTCCGCGTCTGTCGGATGGCCTGTTAAAGGCATCATAAGATGCATGGTGATGAATGTGTCCCCATACCCGTTACTTGTTCATTCTCGTGGCTGTGTTCGTGGACACATTTTATTACCACGGTATGAAGACTTACGTCAAGGAGATCGTACAAACCCATGAATTCGGGTGCACAGCTGTTCTTCTTTGTTTTATGTGCCATTTCAATTCATTTTAAATCAAAAAATGATCCATTCATGCAAATAAAAAATCACTTCCAAAAAAACATAAAATTGCGTCACACATCGTAGAATACTTCGCTAGTGGGTCCAGGCCCCAGGCTCGGCAAAACTCGGTGCACAGTGAAATTCAGGCTTGGCAAAAACAGGATCGGAGGTGGTGGTGGTTTAAAAAAAAAAAAAAAAAAAAAAAAAAGACAGCCAATGTGTGACCCTAAAATTTACACAAATCAGCTATTTTGGGATTTTACCTGTGTTTTTTTTTTTTTTTTTTACCAAAACAACCGGGAACCGGGCCCGGCGTCCCTTTTTTTTTTTTTTTTTTTTTTTTTTTYTYTAARATAACCCTTGGTATCCGATAGGAATGATGGTAAGAGCATACACTCCTACCCGACCCGCCAGGGGCTCCATTCTATTGGTGGGGAGCTGCACCTGCTGGAAATCGGGTCCAGCGTCCCTGAGATTACAATACAATGCCGATGAAAAAGATAGT